CGGAAACCCAAGGAGGGGTCGCTATGAGTCGGGGCCGACTCGACGGCACATAACAACAACAACAACAAGTAAAACAAATGGGACCACACTGATTCTTGGAGCACAACGAGCACTACAGAGGTAACAGAGCAGTTGGATTCAAGCTCCAGCTCCACCTTTTCCTATGTGTGTGTGACAGTGAAGACCTGGACCTGGACCGCAATTTCCTCATCAGGAAACGGGAATAATTACACTTACCTCAGTCATTCTGAGTATCATGTGATGACAATGTATGTGAGAGCACTTTATAAACTGTAATGCTCTACAGAAATGTAAGAAATTATTGATGATTTTCTAACAATAATAGAATACTAGCAGTAGTAGCCACTTTATACCTAACATATACCAAGGGTTGGCAGTTCGAATCCCCCAGAGGCACCTCAGAAAAAGGCCTGGTGATCTACTTCCAAAAGACCTACAGAGCAGTTCTACTCAAAGACATATCATGGGCTCACCATGAGTCAGAATTGACTCAAAAACACCTGGCTTGGAGTTTCTTTCAGTGGTTGATCTAAAAAAGAAGACATACTACCACTGTCAACCATTCAGAGGGGCAATCTAGGTAGGAGATCCTGGATAGAGTGGGAGAACAGTGTAGAACAAAATTCAAAATCATTAAAAAAAAAAAAAAAAGGAGCCAGGTTTGCTGGTTGGATAGATCCTGGTGAAACTCCTGAGACTATGGCCCCTAGCTGCCCATCAGGTCTGGAATTGAACCCCCTCCTGTGGCTGCCAGCCAAATAAAAGGCATATGAGCTGAACATTTACATTAGGTAGACACATTCCTTGGAAAGATCAATCATGGAAGAGTAGAAGGGCTGTGTATGCACAGGGAGACTGCTCAGGGGGCAGGAGTGCATGGAGGAAAGAAGACAGAGAAGAGGTAGCTATGGGAAGGAAGTGGGAGGGGAGCTGTTGGATTGTGGGAAATTGCAGTCAATGTCATGAAACCAAGTATACAGGAAATTGCAGTCAATGTCATGAGACAAGGTATATATGAACTGTTGTATGGAAAGTGAATTTGCTCTGTAAACTTTCACCCAAATCACGATAAAAATTTGAAAAAAATAAATAAGACACAGTACTCAAACATAAATATAATTGGGTAGACAGGAAGAAACTATTATGATGACATCATATAAATTACAATCAAAATTATAAAGGACAAATAGGATGGACTTCTGCCATTTTTTGGCTTCCTGTCATCTCAACACATTCCTTAGCTTATGGACTTGCTACTGTGTGAACTTTGCAGCCCTGCCTCTTACTATACAAGAAGAAAAGGAAACAGAAATGATCACATGATTGCTCTTTCAGACCCGTGGCGGCTGGGGTGTGGCCCATGACCCTAAGCTCAGCCAAATGAAAGCTTTGTTGAAGGTTTTCAGTCACTAGTGAAACCAGGCTCTGGTAGCATAGTGGCTAAAGCACTTGACTGCTAACCAGAAGGCTGGCGGTTCAAACCCACCAGCCACTCCTCGGAAGGAAGGTTGGGCAATCCTACTTCCGTAGTGATACTGCCTCGGAAACCCAAGGAGGGGTCGCTATGAGTCGGGGCCGACTCGACGGCACATAACAACAACAACAGTGAAACCAGGCAGCAGAAACAGGTTAGATCTCATTTCACAGTGGTGACATCCAGTGTCTGGTGGTGGTGGTGCCACCAGTATCTACTGTCCAACAGTGGCACTGTCAGCCTTCAGTGCCCCGTGGTGGCATCTGTAGCCTCCAGAATAGAATAATAGCTCTAGGGGATTACAGAAGTTTGGTGAGGGTTTGCCTCATTCCAGAATTCTGCCTTGGTGGTTCTTCACCAGCTGTAAACATGTAATTTATAAATATGTAATTGTGAAGTAGAGGGTAGTGGATACAAGCATTCCTTACCACAGAGTCAAAAGGAAGGAGACAATGACACCTGGCTTGCTTTCTTCCAAGTACCTTGCCTTCTGAAGAGTGATCATCAAACCAGTCAGTCTTGGTGGCTCTTACAGCAAGTTGTGCTGAATGACATCTCTGAGACAAACCCTCCATTCCTAGTTCTTACTAGTGCTTCAAAGTAGCACAAATAGGTTTTCTTCATCAGATAGTGTGATGCTTTCTGGCAGGGATCACTCTGTGATAGCAATGTTTGGCCAGTTTTCTGGAACTGTCTTTGAAAACAGGCTTTGAAACTCCCAAAGTGGGGAATGGGGTGGGGAGTCAAAGAGTAGCTTCAGGGGTTAACATTCTGGTATACGAAAGTCAGCCTAATCAGGTTAAGGGGGCCAAGCAGACACAAAAAAGAAGGTGGAAACCTGGGTACTGAAAGAATCTTATTTATTTATTTATTATTTTTTTAAATTGTGATTTTGGTGAAAATTTACAGAGCAAATTCACTTTCCATAAAGCAGGGCACATACACTTGTCTCATGACATTGACCACAATTCACCCACCACAATAACAGCTCCCCTCCCACTTCCTCCCGACAGTCACCTCTTCCCTGTGTCCATCCCTCCATGCACCCCTGCGGTACTGAAAGAATCTTGAGTAGTCCTGTCAGTGTAGACAATAATCATCATCTAATGGGCTGTAATTAGGGCCCTATATAGAGTACTACAAAGACATGCCATGGCAATTGAGGCTGAGATTCTTCTTCTCCAACCTGGATAATTTCGATTTTTCCCAGTTTTCTTAATGGCTTACTTTACAATCTTTTCTACACAGAGTCCTTTCCAGATGTCATTTTGAAGTGACCTTAAAATAGAAACCCTCCACACACACACTCACACACAAAATCCATTGCCATGAAGTCAATTCTGACTCAGAGTGACCCTATAGGACAGTACAGAATTGCCCCACTGGGATTCCAAGGCTGTCCACCTTTACAGAAGTAGATTGCCACATCTTTCTCTCACGGAGTGGCTGATGGGTTCAAACGGCTGACCTTTGCGTTAGCAGCTGAATGCTTTAAGCACTGAGCTACTAGGGCTCCTTAAAATTGTACAGGCTACTTAAAAAGCCATGGTTTGAATATTAGCTTTTTCTAAATCATCATACTCTTACTGTTTTTCCCTCTTATCTTCATTACATTAAAAATAGTGATATTTCTAAAGCAGTGCTTTGGGATAAGGCCAATCCAAATTCATTTTACTTCTTTTAGAAAAAGAAGTCAATTTTCTTCATGATCTCCCTTGCCTTTCAGATTTAATACTGAAAACAGGGCCACAAAATTCCTCCATATACATGCTTTAATTTCTGTGAGCTTTAGAATTTACAGACTCATTTCACACTATTATGATTTCCCACTATCTTTTATGCTTTACTTATTTTCTTTTTCTTTTGTAGAATGAACTGTCTCATGTGCTCTGACTTTTTGCAGTATGTTGGACTTTAAGTTTCCTGTTATAAATTCTACCTTAAATCCTTAAAATAGTTCATATTCTTTAAAGTGCACTTATCACACATTGTAAATTAAAACAATTTTTAACTTATTTTATTGAAGAAAAAAATTTAGTATTATTAGTTTATCCAACTCCTCTTTCATAGTTGTAGGATTCATACCCCCTCTTTAAAATAAAAAATCCATTGTTATGTACACAGACTAATATTATTTTTAAATTTGGGTCCTGTATACAAAGTTTTGTATCATGGTTTCTGTGTCCAAATATACAGATGTCAGTCAGTATAGTCAGTCTCAAACTTTTTAGTTTCGGGACCCCTTTACACTCTTAAAAATCACTAAGGATACCAAAGAGCTTTTGTTTATGTAGGTTATATCTATCGATATTTAATGTATTAGAAATTAAAACCAAGAACTGTAAAATATGTTTCTTGATTAATGCATGCTTTTAGTTACCTAGTACTGCCGTAACAGAAATGCCACAAGTGGGTTGTTTTAAAGACCAGAAATTTGTTTTCTCACAGTTCTGGAGGCTAAAAGCATCTCAGCCATGTTGATTCTTCTGTGGCCTCTGTTTCTGGCTTCTGCAAGCAATCCTTGGCATTCTTCTGCTTGTAGACAGATCCTCACATGGTGTCTGTCTTCCTTCTGTGTGCATCACTGTGCCTATTCTGTTCTTTTTATAACTCAGAAGTGATCAGGTTTGGAACCTACCCTACTCATTAACATAACAAAAGAAAATCCCTATTTTCAAACAGGATCATATTTACAGGTACAGAGGTTAGGATTTCAACACATATTTCAGGGGGAGGGACACAATCAATCCATAACATTCCATCCTTAGGTCCTTAAAAATTTATGTCCTACGAACACAAAAAAACACATTTATGCAATAACATCATTCCTCTAAGTCTTATCCCATTCTAGGATCTAATTCCAAAATCTCATCTTCTGAAACATCTAAATCAAGTATGGGTGAGACTCTAGGTGGTTTCCATCTTGGGGCAAAATTCTTTTCCATCTGTGGACATGTAAAACCTATGATACAATACAAGTTATCTGTTTCCAAAGTATAATGGTGAATTAGGCATAAAGTAGATATGCCATTCCAAATGGGAGAAGTTGGTGAGAAGGAAGGAGCCATGAATATCAAGTTAAGTCAAAAACCAGCAGGGCAGTTCTCATTATCTCTTAAGGCTTAAAAACAATCCTCTATTTTCTAGGTGCATCTAGGCAATGGCCTTGCCTTACAGA